CAGGTGTTCTGTAGAGAGAAATGCTATTTTCTGGAGCCACGGCCCTGAGCCAGATGGGCCCCACCAGCATCCTGGTAAGAGTCATTGAATGATGGATGTGAGCATCATGATTTGCAGGTGTCCTGGTACGGCATCTTGTGTGTTTCTGAGGCATATGTCTGTATATGTTTTTCAGGTTCCCTGGAGGAAATCCTGACAAAAAGGAATCACCATCAGGGGACATGTCTGCTGTCTGGTTAGTGATGGTGTTCGCAGTAAACTCGCCACAGACCAGGCGATCTCCACCTATCTAGGTAAGTGAGGTTCCTTTGCCTGAACAGTTTACCATGTGATGGGCTAACGGCTATTATGGAAAGGAAGAGTAGTGACTCCCCATTCTCCTCACCATGTGACCTTATTGGTAACTGTCCTAGAGAGAATGTAAGATGTATGTACTCTGTGAGTGCAGATTGATTGGCACATACCCAGGGAACCCACGTGGCACTGTGCATCACAGGAGTTTCTTCGGTGGAGTTACAGGGAAGCCGGCCAGGGAAAGTGGCGTGTCCTACAATGGCCTAGACCTTGGAGGGCCCACAAGCATCCTGGTAGATTTTTGGCTCCTACAATGATGATAGTGAGCAGGTGGCTTGCAGGATTCTGGTGTTAAAGCAGTGTCCATAGACACATTAGTCACATATGTGATTTCAGATTCAGGCAGGCAGAAGTCAGAGCATGAGGACAGCCTTGAGGTCTCTCCACGAGAATCACGGATTATTGTATTTGGTAGGAATTCAGGTATGAGATGATCATGGCTCTTATCATTGCAGTGACTATGATATTTTCAAGGAATCCAAGAAACAGATGATGGACGTGTCCATAACCATGATAGTGCCCATGGGATTTTGTAGCTATAGAATGAAAAGATGACAGTGGCCATATCCATGGTAATGTCTGTGGGATTTTATAAATATCCAGGTAAGAAATAAGTGTTTCTACTTAAGAAGTGAACATGGGATACTGAAGTTATAAAGGTAAGAAATGGTAAACCTGATTGTGTGGGTGACCATGGTATTTTCTACACATCCGGATAAGGCTGGATGGTGACCCTAATTCGAGTATCAAAATTGGATTTTGTGAGGTAGGCACCTCGGAGCTGATGATGTCCCTTCCCATGTGAGTGAACATGGCATTTTGTGGTATTCTGGATGTAGTGGCGAACCTAACCCCAAAATGACCATGAGGTTTGTCAGGGTCCTAGTAAAGAGAAGATGGTCCCCTTAACCATGAAAGTTATAATGTCATTTTGTCAGTCAGTAATTAAGAGATGATGGTGACCCTGCCACTCCAGTGAATAAGGAATTTTGCAAGTCACCGGGTAAGAGATGATGGTGTCTAAAAATGTGGTGACTGTCGGATCCAATCAAGGAATAATGTGTTACTAGAAATGATAGTACCAAGGTACTCAGCAGTTAGCCACGAAAGAAATGATGTGTCCCTAGCGATGGCATTTAATCTGAGTAATTTGTAGGTCCCCATGTATGGTAGGTTTTTCCAAATCTGGTAGAACACATGGCCTTCTGTAGGTATCCACATGAGAGATGACATGTCACAAAGTGTAAGTACTGCCACTACTGTAGCCAGGGTATTTTATAAGTATCCAGCTAAGAGGTCTGGCTTTATCTATGTGTTGCATGTTAGACTATCATGTTGTCTATTTTTTTCTTTTTTTTGAGATAGTGTCTGGCTGAGGTAAGTGCTGATGCAGGCCTAAACCACAACCCTCACCGTGGGACTGTCACAGAGACCCAGTTCAGTAGTGGTGTGTCCCTACACGTCTTCCCACTGTGATTTCTTTCACAGGTACTCAGGTGACAAGTGATTGAGTCCTTACCATTCCCAGATAGGCCAGGTTTTCCCATTTTCTGTTTCAACAAAAGTGTATGCTGAAACCCGTGAGTGTTGAGGGATTGCAGGGAGCCAGGTGTTTATCACTGTATTCCCTGCCCCCATGCTGCCCCTAGGATGTCTACAGGTGTGCAGTCGGGAAACGGTGGTGTGCTGCTATCACGATCGACCTGAGATTACTACAAGTATCCAGGTCAAGTGGGTATGTCCCAAAAAGATGGAAATCATCAAGGTTCTTTGTAGGAGTGCTATGGAAAACCCTGTGTCCTTCTACACATGTGTCTTCTACACATCTGATTTTGCAAGCTGCCAGAGAAGATACGATGGTGTCTCTAAAAATGTGGTGACCATGAGTTTTTGCAGATAACCAATTAAGTTATTTGCAAAACTAGAAATGGTAGTCCCAAGGCATTTTACAGTTACCCAGGAAATAAATGATGTTTATTTAATTTGGGTAATTTGTAGGTCTCCATGTCTGGTAGGTATTTCTGTATCTGGTCAACCTGATGGTATTCTGTAGGTATCAACATGAGAGATGATGTGTCACAAGTTGTAACCAAGTGCCAAGGTATTTTACAAGTATCTCACTTAAAGCTCCGGTGAATATAAGTTTTTGAAGATACCCAGTGGGAAATGATGTTGGCCTAAGCCGTGGTAATGCCCACTGGTAGTGCCCATATCTTGGTAATAGTTGGTGTGTGTCTGATTATGGTTGTCCCTATGGCTTTTTTTTTTTTTTTTTTTTTTTTTTGCAAATTCCAGCAATATAATGAAGACAATCTTAACCACTCTTATGAACAGAAGATTTAGCAGGAATTGAGGAAAGAAATAATGTGGGCTTTAACCAAATGGACATGATTAGATTTTAGGGATTTCTAAATAAGTGATCATGGTGTCCCTAACCATGGGATTTTGCAGGTTGTAGTCAATAGGTGGTGATGAATTTAACAGTAGGCGCAAACATGGGAATTATTGATACCTAGATAAGACATGATGTGGTCCTTAAACATATTACAGACCATATTATTCTTTAGATATCTACATAAACAATATGTCCTGAAATCTTGATGTAACCATTTTTTTTTTCACATTTAAAAAGTTGCTCATTCTCAAATATTTGTGCAGGGCTGATTTCAGGCTATAGGAATGCACCAGCAGCCGGCCCGATGGCTCACACCTTAATCCCTGTACTTTGGGAGGCCGAGGCGGACACATCACTTGAGGTCAGGAGTTCGAGACCAGCCTGGCCAACATAGTGAAACACCATCTCTATTAAAAATACACAACTTAGCCAGGCGTCCTGGCACATGCCCATAGTCCCAGCTACATGAGAGGCTGAGGCATGAGAATTGCTAGAACCCAGAAGGCAGATGTTGCAGTGAGCCAAGGTTGGGCCACTGCAGTCCAGACTGGGCGACAGAGCAGTTCTTTACCCCCCGCCCCCCATACCCCCCACAAAAAGTAAGGCACCAGAGTCATGAAATAACGATCTTACCACATAGGGCGTAAAAAACGAAACCTCGAAAAATATTACCATATTTCAAAAGACTTGTGGAAAATAATTAAGGACCAGGTAGCAGAAATTGTGATCAGAAGAAATAACATAAGAATATACTTAAGTGCACAGTACATAGCTGGAAGGCAAACTGTTTATCCTTCTAAAACCATTACTATGATCAACACAGACAAGAGACACTTTCCTGAAAGGTTAAATTGGTTCATGAGAAATAAAAGCAACCAAAATGAGCCACATTACCTACAATAGAAGAGACCATATGGAAAAAGTTCTATGGCAAGAGCTAATTAGTTAGTATACAAAAAGATTCACAAAAAATGCCTCAACTTTAGACACATTAGATATTGCACACTAAAAAAACCCCAAAAAACAAAAAAACAAAAAAAACCAAAGGAACATTTTGAAAGCTATTTTAAATTTAATTAATTGCTGAATGTCTCCTTGGCTACTAGTTGAACAGTCATTATTTAGTCCCACATCTCTCTCACCATTTTGTTTGCAGACCATCTAAAAGCCTTATTTCCTCATCTATTTGACGGATGACCAAAATGGATCCTACAATATGATCGCACAGGATAATCTTGGAAAGTATGACTAAATTATTTTTAAAGGCATTATTTTTCTCCCTTGATTTTCAGATTCTTTCTCATAATTTCTAAAACAGTGTCGACAGTGGCCTGTACTATGTCTTCATTGATGTCATCCCTGAGATCACTCTCAATTGCTCTCGAACTTGTTGTTGGCCTTTCGTGTAGATATGAACTGTGACCTGGCGGATCTGACTGTTGTTGCTGCTGCTTCTGTTCCTGCCGATGCTTTTCAAAATAGTCTTTTATTTTCTTTGGCTCTTCCGAAGCAGGAGTTCCACATGATGTCTTTGGAAGATCTTGCGATGTGTTTCTGGAACTACCTTGCATGCTTAGTTCAATAGCCCTGCGGAGATCTTCATCTTCTTTATTGGTTTCTTGGCGACTTAGTTCCAGGGCCCTCTGAAAATCCTGCTCTTCTTGGTCTGATGTTCCAGACTCATCACTTTCTTCTGACACTTTTTCAAGAATTGTTTTATAGACTCTATGGTCTTTTTCTTTGGCTAATTTTTTTTCATTAAGTTTTGGTCTATCCATCTCTTCAACACTGATGATTTGCAGCAGTTGGTCAGCTTCACAGTCTGGCAGATCCCCCTTAACAACAAATACAGAATATGCTTCCTGTTGCAGTTGAGTCAAGAAATTTGCAAGGCCTGTATCTGATATTAATTCTGGACCCGCCAAGAGAGAATTCAAGTTAAACCAGTGTTTTCCGAATTTTCTAATAGTAAACCAGTGTTGTTTATAATTACATATAAAAGATCGTTCATTTATAGGATCAATCCCGAGCTTCTGATATTCAGGATTATTGAAATGGATGACCTCTAAACCCCAGAACTTCAAGGCATTGCATATTACCTGGATGGAGAAGAAGCCGCTATCATCCATGTTTTCTGAAGGCTGCTGTAAAAATGCGCGATAGTCTTCACTAGTGACTCCTCCTTCTGCCATTCTCATCCTCTCTTCTTCATCTAGCTGATGTGCAATTGAAGCTAATTCCACAGGGCTAAAATATTCTCCTTGCAGCAGATTGTTCAGGCAGTGCTGAGCACAAAGAAAGCCTTCTTGTTTTTCATGAAAGATGAAATCCATGTTGATTCTAACCGTGAGTTTTTGTATATATGTGGGAACATGTTATATGCCCAGCTATGGCAGTTATCTGGGCAGTTTGTAGATAGCCATGAAATAGGTGTTAGGTTTTCAAACCTTATGAAGACCATGGGTGTCTGTAGGTATTTAAGTAAGAGATGATATGTCACAAAGCACTATTGTGACCAAGGTGGTTTTGCCAGTATCTAGTCAAGACCTGATGGTAAACCTAAAGTGAATATGGGATTTTGGAGTCATCCCATAGGGGATAATGGTGACTTGAATCATGGCAGTGCCCATTGATTTTCAGATGTCCTATAAAATATAATGTCTCTTTAATTATGGTTGTCAGCATGGTTTTAGTAAGTGAATAAAGGTGAAATTTACCACAGTACTAAACAGAAGATTTGGCAGGTAACTGGGAAAGAAATAACATGGGCTTTAACCGAACGGACATTATGGGATTTTGGAAGTCTCTGGGTAAGTTATGATGTCACTGACCACAGTAATAGCCATGGAATTTTGAAGGTTCCACTCAATAGATGACAACAAAACTCACGGTAGCAATGAAGATGGGACTTTGCTGGTATCCTAGTTAGAGATGATGTGGGCCTTAAAAACATTAGTGACCAAATGATCTTCAGACATCTAGAAAACTGATGAAGATGTCCTGAACTCTTTTCACATCCATGTGTTTTTATAGGTGTTCAGATAAGAAATGTGTGTGCCCAACAAAAGTAGTAACCATTAGATTTTACTGTTTTCTAGTTCAGAGACAATCTCTCTCAAACTTAGTAGTGACAAAGATATAGCAGGCATCCAGGTAGGATATCACAGAGTCCCTTACCACAGTAGTAACTATAGGATTTTTGCAGGTGTCCAGTGAATAGACAGTGTGTGAAACTACTGTGTTGACCTTGGACTTCTCTAAGTGTCCAAGTACACTTAGTGATGCCCTAATGATCGTAGTGAGTGTATGCACGGAATGAGCAGGGGGCCAGATGGAAGGACATGCATCCTGACCAGGGTTACCACCATATGTTTTCTCAGCAGGTAGTCAAGAGATAATGGTGTCTCTAACTACAGCATTGGCCTCAGAACCTTAGGATTCAGGTAGAGTTCATGGTTCCCGTAACAATACTAGTCACCGTGGGATTTTTTGAGGTCCATGTAGAAGATGTATCCCTAACCACCACTGCTGCCATATGGTTTTGCAGGCTCCTATCAAGAGATAATGGTGAAACTCATATTGGTCATTTTTGTAGGCATTTCATGGAATCTGGCTAAGTGATTATGTGGACCTTAAACATAGTACAGACCATCTGCTCTTCAGACATCTCGGTAAGTGATGATGTCCTCAACATGTGTTGGTATCATGTGTTTTGCAGGTATTCAGGTAAAAAAAAAAAAAGATACTGGCTCTACCAATAAGTATTGGAATCCATGAGACTTAGCTTAACCAGTTTTCTGGTTTAGAGATATTGTGTGTTTAACCTTAGGAGTGAATGAGAAATTTTCAGGTATCTAGGTAAGTGATCATAACTTTCGTCATAACTGTAATGACCATGAGTTTTTTATCAATGCCCAGACAATAAATGATGGTGCCTGTACCAATGTGTTGACCTTCAGGTTCTGCCAATATCTAGGTAGCATTAATGAGTTTGTAAAGATGGATGTGACAAAAGTTATTTGCATATGTTCTGCTAGAAAAAGTTGCATTCTTAAACACATCTGGCACAATGTGATTTTTCAGGTTTCAGTCTAAAGATTAAGGTAACCCTAACAATGGGGATTATCATGGAGCTTTGCTGGTATCCAGACAAGTGATGATGTCGGTCTTATCACACAGAAGACATTCTGACCTTCTGAAATTTACGTAAGTGATGATGATACCTCTAACGTTTGTGTTACTGTGTTTTTTGGTTTTTTTGCAGATATTCAGGCAAGAAATTGTAGTGTTCCCATAATTCCTATTGAAGAGTACACCCTTACTGCTTACTAGTTCAGAGATAATGTTTTGAAATCTGGCTAAGACTGAGGGATTTGTAAGTTTCCAAGTCAATTTTCATAGTGTTTCTCATCTCAGTATTGACCATGGTATTTTACAGGTACCTAGTCAAGTGATTATGACATATCCATGGTTTTGACCTTGATATTCTGCAAGTATCAAGGTAAAGTTGATGGTTCTCCTACTGCTAGTGATTCTTATGAGATGTTGCATGGTCTAGGTGGGAAAAGACATATCTCTAACCATGGCTGCCTTCATGGATGATGCTGAAACTAACAATGATAGTGAACATGGACTTAGCTAAAAGAGAGGGAAAGGATGGTGTGAACCTTTACACATTAGAAAGCTTCAGATTTCAGTTATCTAGGTAAGTGTTGATCGTGCCTGTAATACTGTGGTTACAACAATGTTGTTTTTATAAACAGGCATTCAGGTAAGGGCAGTGCTAATATAAAGGTGAGAAGTGATGTGGCATTTATACACTAGAGACCCGAATTTCAGGTATCTAGGAAACTGATGGTGATCATATCTGTAATAGTTACCTGGTTTGGTACAGCTTTGCAGGGAAGAAATGAACTGGCTCCACTAGTAAGAGTAAGCATGCGATTTTTTGTATTCTCATTTAGTGCTAATTTGTACTAAGGTGTATTAAACATATTTTTCACAATACGCTTTTCAGGCTCCTTTCATAAGATTATAGTGAGCTTAACAATGGCCATTAATGGTGGACAGGTATAATCAGATGTATATCAAATATAACATTTCTCATAATGTGTTTTTCAGGATTCTGTCAGAAGATTATGGTGAGCCCAATAATGGTAGTTGATGTGGGACACTGCTGGAATATAGGTAACTGATGTGGTAAGTTTAAATCCCAGCACGTCTACTTAATTTTCTTGTATCTAGGTAAGTGATTAATGATGTCCCAAATACTCATTACTGTGTTTGTTTCTTTTTTCTTTATGTATTCAATGATGAAAAGTTCTTACTAGTAATAGAATCCATGAGTTCTTTCTTTTCACATTTTAGGGGAAATTTGTACAACTTTGTGAGTATTGAGGGATTGTCATAGTAATTCTCATTGTGTTTCCCACCACATTCGTAATCATGGAATCTTTGCAGTTATCCAATCAAGAAATTATGATCTTTTCTAAAATGGTGTTTACCTTGGTGTACTACAAATATTCAAGTAGAGTTCATGCATCCAGTAATATTGGAAGTAACTAAGGTTAGTTGACAGCATCGTCATAGAAAATAAATTGTGTCCTTTAACATGTATTTTCTAAAGTGTTTTTCGGGTTACTGTCAAGAGAGCACGGGAAACCTAAAGATGGTGGTTAACATTGGACATTGCTGGTGTCCAGGTAAGTGATGATGTGAGCCATAGTGGTGGTATTGGCCTGAAGGGGTGGCCTACCCCTCCACACCTGTGGGCGTTTCTTGTTAGGTGGAAGGAGAGATTTGAGAAAAGAAATGAGACACAGAGACAAAGTATAGAGAAAGAAAAAAGTGGGCCCAGGGTACCTGTGCTCAGCATACAGAGGACCCACGCCAGCACGGGTCTCTTGAGTTCCCTTAGTATTTATTGATAATTATCTTTACCGTCTTAAAGATAAGGGAGTGGCAGGACAATAGGATCATTGAAGGGAGAAAATTAGCAGTAAGACATATGGATAAAGATCTCTGTGACATGAATAAGTTCAAAGGAGAACGCTGTGCCTTGATATGCATATGCAAACATCACCATAAACCTCTTAGCAGCATTGCACCAGCAAGTCCCGCCAGCAAGTCCCACCTTATGCTGTAAGGCGGTTTTTTCCTATCTCAGTAAACAGAGCATACAATCGGGTTTTACACCCAGATGTTCCATTGCCCAGGGAGTGGCAGGATTTTTAACCAGCAAGCTGCCTTCAGGCACTTGTTTAACAAAGACACATCATGCACAGCCCCAAATCCATTAAACCTTGAGTCACTACAGCACATGTCTCTTGCAAGGACAAGGTTGGGGGTAGGGTCACAGATTAACAGCATCTCAAATACAGAACCAAATGGAGTCTCTTATGTCTACTTCTTTCTATATAGACACAGTAACAGGCTAATCTCTCTTTCTTTTCCCCACATTGGCCTCTACTTACTGTTGTCAGTTTTTGGATTTTTTAAAGTATTCAGGTACGAAATGATAATCTCCTTACTATTACTATTAACTATGTTAAGTTTGTTTTATATATTAATGTAAACTTATGTTTAGCCTAGTGAGTGTTGGATTTGCAGGTATCTACGTAATTCTTATGATGTCTTGCTTCTTAGATGTAACCCCGGGACTTCTGGAAGTGTGCAGTGAACAGAATGTGTTTTCACTAACAGTAGTGCAGACCATAGAATGCTACAAGTAATCAGGTAGAGTTGATGGGTCCTGCCATGGAGGAAGCCACCAACTTGACCATAGATGTTTAGGTGCAAAAAATTGTGTGCATAGGAACATTGGTAGCAATTTGTTCTTCAGGTTTCAGTCCAGAGAACATGATGAACTTCAAAATGGTCATTCACAGGAATTCAACTGGTGCCCAGGTAAGTGCTGATATGAGCCTAAACCACAGCACAGGCCATCTGATCTTAGGCCATCTGATCTTCATGTATATAGGTGATGATGGTGTCACATTTTTTTGGCTATATGTTTATTGCAACTATTCAGCTAAGCATGAGATAGCCCTTAACAATTTGAGGAATCATGAATTTTCACTTTTTTCTTCTGTAGAGAATGTATGCTCAACCCTTTTAGTGATGAAGAACTGCACATATCTAGATAACTATCGTGGTGTTCCTCCTCCAGTAGTATCCATGGGAATTTTGAGAGTGTGGTCGGGAAACGATGTTCTTATCTGACAATGGCACTTCCTTGGAGTACTTCAGATATTCAGGTAGTTAATGGTTTCTGCATGATGGCAGTGATCAAGGTTATTTTCAGGCATCCTGATAGAAAAGGTTGTGTTCTTTGACACATATCTCAAATTATGCTCTTAGGTGCCTGTCCAGAGATCACAATGGACCTAAAAATGTTTATTAACAGGAGAGATTCCTGGTGTCCAGGTAAGTGATGATATGACATTGACTCGTGAGAGACCTTTTGATTTTCAGATACCTGAGTAGTTAATGATATCCTTAAGATACATATACTAACATTTATTTGGCATGTGTGCAGTTAGAGAATTAGTCTCTATCGATACTAGTAAATGTGAGATTCTCCTGCATTCTTATTTAGAGATAATGCATATTCATCACTCAGAGCAACAGATGAATATGCAGGTATCCAGGTAATTTATGGTCTTATCTGTCACCAGGTTATTGGTCATTTTGCAGGTATGCCTTCAAGAAAGGAAGGATTTTCTTACCATAGTTTGAACTTGGAATTGAGCAGGCATCCAGGTTGCTTGGATGGGTCCTGAAATGATACAAGTGACCAAAGGACTTTGCAGGTGTTCAAGTATCTGAAGATATTTACCAAAAGCATTTTCCACAATATCAAATGCATTTTCCACAATGTGTTTTTCTGATCCAAGTCAAGGCATCGTAGTGAGTCTGTGAAAGATAATCAAGGAGTCTGTAAAGGGTGGGACATTGCTGGCATCAAGGCAAGAGCTGGTGTGGGACAAAAGCACAGCACAGCACATCTGATCATCATGTGCATAGGTAAGTGATGACAGTGCCCCAAGCACCTCTTTCTCGCCCTTTCCATGATTTTTTTGCAGGGGTTCAGGAAAGAAATCATAGAACCTGTATCAATTCTAGAAACCATGAGTCTTTGCTTTTCATGTATTAGGGAAAATGTATGGCAAACCCTCTGAGTTTGAGGGATTGCATGTATCCAGGCAATGATCATGGTGATTTTCACTACAGTAGAAACCACGTGATTTTATAGGTTTCCTCTCAAGAAATGATGGTTTGATATGACAACAGTGTTGTCCTTGCAATACTGCAAATGTCCAGGTAGAGTTGATTTGTCTCATACGGATGGAACTCTGCAAGGTTATTTGCAAGTGTCCTTCTGGAAAACATTACATCCTTCAACACATATTCACATTGTGTTTCAGGTTCCTGTGAAGTAATTGTTACGAAACTAAAAGTGGATGTCAGTAAAGACATTTCTGGTCTAAGTAAGTGATGATGCACACCCTAACCCATCATGAGTCATCTGATTTTTTTATATCTAGGTAAGTTTTACCATTTGATTTTTGGTACGTATTCAGGCAAAACATGATAGTATTTTATTAATTCTAGCAGGCATATTATCACAGAGTTTGTATTTCACAGAAAATTTACATTTAATCAGGTGAGTGGTCAATGATTTCCATGTGTCCTTGAAAATATCTTGTAGCTCCCCATCAGAGCAGCAACCATGGGATATTATCAGCTGTGCAATTATCACCACCCATGATGGTGTGTGACTTTGAATTAAAGCAAGTGTCTAGGTAGAGTTGATGTGTATTCCAAAATAATGGAAGCATTACAAGGTTGTAGGCAAGTGCCCAGGGAGAACAAGTTGTGACTTGAAGCACATTTGTCTTATATGATTTTTCAGGTTCTTGTCGAAACTATGAGGTGAATCACATAATGCTCAGTAATGAAACATTGCTTGTAAACAGGTAGTGATAACTGTTTGCTTCCTGTAATGGGGGTAATTACACAATGCAGAGCATTGGATTTTCTAGGTACGTAAAAAGGGATCCCTAATGCTTAAGCTACTGTGTATTTTGTAGGTAATCCATTCAGGTTTTTGGGCTAGTTTAAAGAGACCAGGTAAGGTTGTATTAACATGTAAAACACCTTGGTATTTTCGGATATCAACTTTATTAATGTTTTTCGCAATATTAACTTAAACTTGTTTTTCACATTTATGCAGTTAAAAATAAATATGCCTCTAGTAATACAAATAATCAAGATAATTTATTGCATGTCTTGACAGATAATGAGTAATGAACACTTACAGGGCTACACAAATCCACAGACATCTAGATTAACCGTATTGTGCAACATCATGAAATTAACAACAGGAATTATGCAGGG